TTAATTACACACAGAGAAAATACTAATGTTTGTTCAGTCATTGTGTTTATAGACTTTACAAACATCAGATTAGTCTAAACGGTGATATAGTGACGTGAAAAATGTGATATATACATATATATAGCTAAACTCAGCAAGGTAAACAACAAGGCGATTCCCATTTACACAGTGGTAAGAGTGCTGGACCGGAAGTGTCGCACAAAAAAACGGAAGCTGGCTGCGTTCTGTTTTGCCTCCGTGTTTCCGTGAAAAATAAGGTGGATTCTGTGAATAAATTGCACTGAAGAGGAGCCCTGCAGTGTTCGAGCCTTTACTTTACCTGCTCAGTTCTCCCTGTGGTTCTCCCTGTGGTTCTCCCTGTGGTTGTACTGGTTCTTCCTGTGGTTCTTCTTGTGGTTCTCCCTATGGTTCTCCCTATGGTTCTACTGGTTCTCCCTGTGGTTCTATTGGTTCCCCCTCATGATTACCTGCTCAGAGTTCTCTCTGGTGAGGAACTTGAGGTGGGTGACGGCGGGGTACTTCTCCCTCCTCATGGGGTCGGTGGTGCAGCGCAGGAACAGAGACGGTAAGAGTTCTGTGTCGATGCGACACTTCTCGCTGACCACGCTCACGACCACCTGAACACACAGAACATGTTTGTTACTACTGACACCGATGAAGGTCCGAGATCAGGTGATCATCAGGTTCTGGTTCTCACTTTATAGAACTGGACGGGGGACGAGCTGCTGCCGTCGGTCGCCGCCACCACGATGTTCCCTCCTCCGGTAAAGGCGATGTCAGCCAATGCCACGCGTCCTCTCAGCCGGCACAGACTCTCGCTGGCCGTCAGCAGAGCGCCGCCTGGCTTCAATAGAGACACAGTGACCAAACCGCTGACCGTCACCGCCATCCAGCCCTCCATCGGCTTCCCGCCAAACAGAGTCAGAGATGGAGAGAACTTCACTCGAGAGAACTTCTCCCCGAAGTTTGTGGAACCCGACTGAAACAAGAACCCTGATTTATTTAGCTGTTCAATGTCAACAGGTGAACGTATGACACACTTGTGTTTATAAATCTGTAACGTGTCACGTGTTTTACATGTATATCAGGCGGCCTTACCATCTCCACGTGCAGCGCCAGCTTCACGCCGTTGTGCAGCCAGCTCAGAGCAACGATGGGATCTCCGTCCAGAGAGCTGGACAGGACGCTCTCCCAGCTGTTCACCAGGTGATCCGACATCGACCAGCATTTAATCTGCCCATCGCCGTCTGCGGACAGCAGCCGCGAACCTCAACATGCCAACATGCCAAGACACACGTCAATCAATGGATTAACAATAACGTCTATACACATCAACAGATCATCACTGTTAGTGTAAACCTAACCTGATTGGTCCCACTCCAGACAGGAAATGACCTCAGTGTGTCCAGAGTTGATGGAGTAAACGTCCCAGGGATGCTCCGTGTCAATGATGTGGATCATGTGACTGACGTCTGAAACACACACACACACACACACACACACAAAAAACACAGAAGTGTGATGTGGGCGTGTTTGCACGTGTGATGTGGGCGTGTTTGCACGTGTGATGTAGGCGTGTCCCCATGTGTGATGTGGGTGTGTCTGTGGGTGTGTCTCCATGTGTGATGTAGGCGTGTCCCCATGTGTGATGTGGGTGTGTCTGTGGGTGTGTCTCCATGTGTGATGTGGGCGTGTCTGTGGGTGTAATGGGGGCGTGTCTGCAGGTGTGCACCTTTGTCGTCGTCATCGTTCTTCAGGTCAGTGGTGAAGGCCACCAGGTTCCTGCAGGACCAGGAGCAGACCAGAGGGATGGAGGGACAGTGGGTGCTCTTGGGACGCTTCTCCCACTCACACACATACGCCAACTCCATGATGTCACCAGAGAAGAAGAACCTGGAGGCCAGGAGGACGTCTCACCTGAGGACACACCCACACAGGTGACTCACATACGGTCAGGTTTAAATTAAAACAACAGGTGACCAAAGTTCTTCACAGAGACATTAAAATATTAGGATAAATTTAATCATCTTTATTTTCTCATTAATTATTAAAGGTAATGTTGTAAACATAATGTTGTTTCATTAACTGTGATTATTAATACTGAAAACATAAGAACAAAGAAATTCTGTTAATAACAAAACTCTGATGTTTCACACCTGAAGGTCTGTTTTTATAACTACAAAGATTCAGACAGAAACACAGTCTGAGCTGAATCAAAGCAGACTTCAGACTCCATCTCATTAATACACACATGGTAGTTAGCATGCTGCTTATGTTAGCGCACCCTTTTTAAAATAAACTTTCTCGAACAGTTTATAATTACAACAAAAATACACATCCAAGGGGCATTGGTGGCTTAATGGATAGAGCAGGCGCCCCATGTACAAGGCTGTTGCCACAGCGGCCCAGGTTCGAGTCCAGCCTGTGGCCCTTTGCTGCATGTCACTCCCCCCCCCCCCCCCCCCCCCTCACACTCACCTGTCCTGTCAATTAAAGGCTAAAAATGCTGAATGATATCTTTAACAGAAAGTAAACAAATAAATAAATTAATAAATTAAATTGAAACAACATGAATAATACAAAATAGAGTTATTGGATCTTCATGTAAAGTGGGAATGAAGGAAAAGAAGGAATTTACAGAATGACAGAAATTCATGACAGAAGGGTTCATTTACCCGTCAGAACTATGAAACATGTGAACTGAGTGTAACTGGTACGTTCGTCTGTTGAAACTGTTCTTCCATCTGTTTCCAGAAAAGTTGTAAACGACCACAGGCTGAGAAAACGTGTCTGTGGCGTCGGTCCCATCCTGTCCCGTCTGCTGTCACTAATGTTGACCAGCAGTGACCACTAAGTGTCCATGATATACTCCTGACAGTGTCAGACTGGATCCTGTGTGTTTGTGTTGTGATGTCTGTTTCTCAGATTTCCAGTCAGAGACATTAAAGTTTACTTTATCAGTATCTGAACTGTAAAAGGAACAAACATTGTTCTCAAAGTTAAAGCTCTAAAGAGTCACTGGAAGAATTTATGTTATTCATTATTTGAAATGAATATCTCTGCCTGTGGGTAACGCTGCTGGATCATTTATGGATTCTGTTTTTAATTTAAGGATGCATCTCTCTACTGAAGTGGATGGATTCAGATCGTCTCATCTGACTGTTATAACTTTAATTATCAGTGAATTAAAGCCTCCTGTGTGTGTGTCCATCTGTCAGTGTTGATGCTGAATGAATTTTATCACTTCTCTGGTCAGAGGTCAGAATTATTTACCAGCGAGGTTAAAAATGTTTGCTGCGACAGAAAAAAATCTAAATTAATGCAGCAAGTTCTCATTTGTATCCATCAGCTGTGAAACAGACCAGATATCTGCTCTTTATGAAACACTGATTTATCTTTAATAATAATGTGCCTGCTGTTATTGTTAAATGTTATCATCACACTGCAGAAGGAAACTGAAGCCTCAAACAGACTGGAGGATATTTTCTGGAGAGATTTAAATCACTTTAGTTTTATTGTAATTAAATATATTCCAGCCAGCTGATTCAGTGTTCCGCCATGATTCATGTGATTAATAGGTTTTATAAAAGCCTGGTGTCAGACAGTGTGTCGGCTGCAGAACAACGTTAGCTCACCTCTGTCACTTCCGGTCCGGTGACGTAGATTAGATTAAAATAACTCCGTGTTTCCTGATAAAGGAACGTTCAACAAAAAAAAAACATGGGGAATAATACTGTATAATAACTCTAATATTCGCTGGTGAACTGAATCAAACCTTCCGCAGAGGCTTCAGTTGAACAAAGTGTGAGGACCCCTCCGCTCACAGAGCTGTCTCTGCAGGTGCCTGACTGTAATCATCTCAGAGACTAGGACTCGGGATTAAATCTGGGACTCGTGTTTGACCTGATGCGAAAAGTTCTCTGTGACATGTTCTGAAAATGTGACCACAGTCCGTGTCCCTGATGGTCCTCTGCAGTCTGTGTTCAATCCAACATGGCGCCGGGGGGGGCAGCCTCCTATATGTCCCGAGCTCTGGTCCCTGAGCGCAGACTGCCAGGCTTTCACAGTTGTCTTCATTAACATGTTCAGGTTCATTTACATTATTGGGTCAAATTAAAAGCAAATGGACTAAACCTTCCCACCAGATGTCTTTTAGAGCAGCATTGGGAACTAAGAGGTGCAGCAACAACAAAACCAAACTTTGTGAACTCCATGAGGCAAAAAGCATATGAAGTGGGAATTCTGAACCTGAGAGTGGGACCAACTATCTGCTGGCCTTCCATTCCTCAGTGGTTGTGGCCTGAGCCTGATATAGACCTGGGCATCCTTGATCTGATCAGGGAACAGATAGCAGGAGACATTGCTAATGCAGTCATGGAGCATCTAAAGGAAGGGTGGGGAAACAGCGTTAAAATCTTTACTGATGGTTCCAGAGACCCCTCCACAGGGAGAGCAGCATCTGCAGTGTTTGTGTGGGAGGACAAAAAAGGGAATGGGAGGAGGCTTCCTGACCATTCGTCAGTCTTTACAGCAGAGCTGTTTGCCATCTTGTGTGGACTCAGGTGGATTGAAAAGTCAAGACCTCAGTCAGTAGTAATATGTAGTGACTCTCTTTCAGCTTTGCAAGCCATAGAACACTGCAAGTCCAAGGCCCATCCTGAGATGTTAATAGAAGTAATGATGGCAATATTCAGAATTCATAAATTGGGATGCAGTGTGGGGTTTATGTGGGTTCCAGCCCATGTTGGAATCCAGGGGAATGAAGTAGCAGATGAGTTAGCAAAAAAAGCATTACAGAATGAAAAGGTTGAAGTATCCATTACTATCAGTGTAATGGAGTCATATTCAATAATCCAGCAAGAAATAACTAAGGCTTGGCAACGAGTGTGGGACAGGGGACTTAAAGCAAGACATTTATATACTGTTAGACCATCTGTAGCTCATTGGGCTCTTAAAACCTACAGGGGTAACAGAAAGGATCAGGCTAAGTTACTGAGATTGAGACATTGTGGGCTAAAGAGAGGGCTGGCCCTGATTAAAAAACATCATGATGGGAAGTGCCAGTGTGTTCAAGCAGAGACAGTGAGGCATGTCCTCCTAACATGCATGCACCATCTATAAAGAACAAAGGAAGAATCTGTACAGTGACCTTACAGACCTGGGAGAAACCATCTTCAATATATCAACTCTACTAGCTCAAGGAGACCCGGAACGAACTAAGAAACTGATGGAATTTCTTCTGTCCACTGATGGATTTAAGGTCTAAATAAATACTGACTTTCGACTGTGGGGGGGCAGCAATACGCCTTTGGTGCGTCTAGTCTACCTTATCAAAAGAAGAAGACGAAGAAGAAGAAGAAGAAGAAGAAAAAAAAGAAGACAGACAGAACTCAGGGCTAAAGCGCCCATTGACTGTAGGACCCGTATTTCCACTCTGGTCTTGTTTCCGTCTCCAAACAGCAACCGTCAGTCCGCTGTTAGCCGCTGTTAGCCGAGAGTTGAGCCGCCTCGGGTCCGTCTGAACAAACTGAAATGAGTCCGCACACGGTCACCGGGACTTGCTAGATACCAGCTGCTTATACCGCTGCTCCTCGAAAGGCTAACTAGCTGTTAGCTGCTAGCACCTGTAGCGTTACCTTCCTGTGAAACGGAGCCTGCTAACAGAGCTAAAAGGCTAGCTGCTGCGTTTCTCAATCTGTTTGTTTGTTTACTCTGATGAAAACACCGGGAAGGAGCCGCGAGCATGGACACACACCTGTCGAGCAAATAACAGGTAACCCAGCTACATGCTAACCTTACGGCTAGTGTCAGCAACGACATAAAAAGAGTTAGCTGCATGCTAATCCAGAGTTATTAACGTTAGCTTCGAGGCCCCAAAACAACGTCTACTTTCACTTCTACTGCTGCTGAGACACCAACAGAGACAACAGGCCCCAAAATATCATGTACCTGTACTGCCGTTACTTCTGCTAACGTTACGTTACTTTAACTAATTACACAGAGTAACACCCATACTGCGAAGTATTTGAATACATGATGAAGTATCTCAGTACTTCAGACACCGGTCAGCTGACAATATCAAATGATTGTATTAATGTGTGTTGAATGAAGTGGATGGAGCTGAAATTATCAATGACAGTCAGTATTGATTGTCAGTTGATTATTGTTTATGTCTGGACACTCCTGAAGACAGACAACAGAGAAAAAGGAAATGTTCACATCACTACTTTAATGACTGGTTGATTAGTTGATCGGTCGTTTTGTTGATGAGTCGATTTGATTTGTTGATTAGTTGATCAGTTGATTGGCAGGAAGTGAGGACTGAGTGGTTTCAGTTATTTTCGTGGTTTAAACTCTGCTATATATGTTTGTTGATGATTTGATGCTGATCTCTGTGTGTGTCAGTAAACTGAACCAACTGGAGACCTTACTGCCAAAAATACATGTAAACTCCATGATTAATGGATTGATTGAGAAAATAATCTTCAGATAATCGATACAAAAAAGTTTCAGTCCCTTTTTAAAGGAGCTGGAATCCAAGGAATGAAAATATTGCATAAACAAAGTTAGTTTGATTAGTTTTCTGTCGATAGACTGATTGATTTTCTCTGAGCTGTTTTTATTTGAAGACTGATTGAAAGGATGAATTGATGATCAAAAGAATTGATTGTTATTCTGACAGAGTTTATGTGAACAGAGAATCAGTTTGAGTTCAGGTGTCAGAACACGAGAACAAACATCACAGTAACAACCTGATCAGTAAATTAATCAGTAGTCAATAATGTCAGTGTTTGATTGATTGATCTGCAGTTAGTGGGTTTAGCTCACTGTGGCGTTCAGGTGTGTCATTAATGGATTAAAGGTTTCAGTTTTTGGCTCAATCACCATCTGTTACAATCAATTCATTAATCAGTTTTTCATTGGTTCATCCTCAGCATCATCTGTTGGAAGAAGTTGAGTCCATCAGCTCTCAGCTCGCTGTGAATCAGACTCTGTGGACACCTTCATCACCTGACTTGAGATCAGAGTCTTCCCTTTTGCCCTGAGGTCACCTTCCAGCCGCCATGCTGACCTAGAGTCAGCTGATAGTTTGTGCAGTTTGAGCAGAATCATCCAGAGACAGAGATCATGTCTGAGAATCAGGCCAACAACAACAACGTCCCTCTCAACAACAACAACAACAACAACATGGGACCCAACCGCATCCGAAACCCCAACATCAACCAGAACCCACTCATCAACGTCAGAGACCGCCTCTTCCACGCCCTCTTCTTCAAAATGGCCGTCACATATGCCCGACTGTTTCCTCCGTCCTTCAGGAGAGTCTTTGAGTTCTTCGTCCTGCTCAAGGTGAGAGACAAAATATTTTCTGTACAGGTAAAGACCTGACACAACATGTCTTCTGTACAGGTAAAGACCTGACACAACATGTCTTCTGTACAGGTAAAGACCTGACACAACATGTCTTCTGTACAGGTAAAGACCTGACACAACATGTCTTCTGTACAGGTAAAGACCTGACACAGCATGTCTGCTGTACAGGTAAAGACCTGACACAACATGTCTTCTGTACAAGTAAAGACCTGACACACCATGTCTGCTGTACAGGTAAAGACGTGACACAACATGTCTTCTGTACAGGTAAAGACCTGACACACCATGTCTGCTGTACAGGTAAAGACGTGACACAACATGTCTTCTGTACAGGTAAAGACCTGACACAACATGTCTTCTGTACAGGTAAAGACCTGACACAACATGTCTGCTGTACAGGTAAAGACCTGACACAACATGTCCTCTCTACAGGTAAAGACCTGACACAACATGTCCTCTCTACAGGTAAAGACCTGACACAACATCACGATACAGACTGCTGAGTCATGATACAGACTGCTGAGTCAGGATAAAGACCGCTGAGTCAGGATACAGACTGTTGAGCTGAGTCACGATACAGACTGCTGAGTCGTGATACAGACTGCTGAGTTGTATGATACAGACTGCTGAGTCATGATACAGACTGCTGAGTCATGATACAGACTGCTGAGTCATATGATACAGACTGCTGAGTCACGATACAGACTGCTGAATTGTATTATACAGACCGCTGAGTCGTGATACAGACTGCTGAGTTATATGATACAGACCGCTGGGTAACAATGCAGACCGCTGAGTCAGGATACAGACTGTTGAGCTGAGTCACGATACAGACTGCCAAGTCACTATACAGACTGCTGAGTCATGATACAGACTGCTGAGTCAGGATACAGACTGCTGAATTGTATCATACAGACTGCTAGGTCATATAATACAGACTGCTGATTGGACGGTAAGTGCAGTGACAGAGCTCCACTGACAACCTATCACAGGAGGAACCTGTCACACTCTGACTCCTTTCTTCTCCTGTGCTCCTGGTCAGGCGCTCTTCGTCCTCTTCATCCTCGCCTACATCCACATCGCCTTCTCTCGCTCGCCCATCAACTGTCTGGAGGTGGTGAGGGAGCGCTGGCCTCGTGACGGCATCCTGCGGGTGGAGATCCAGAGGAACTCCAGCCGAGCCCCCGTCTTCCTGCAGTACTACGACTCCACAGGCCTCCAGGAGGAGCTGGAGGCTGAGGAGGGGGGAGGAGGAGCAGGAGGGGTTCCAGGACTAAGCCTGGCGGCGCTGCAGGAGGAAGACGAGGAAGAGGAGGAGATGACTCTGGAGATGTTCGACAACAGCTCAGTGCAGGTGAGCAGAGATGGCACAGGTGTGGTTTGCTCCACAGCCAACAGGGGTCACCAGTGGTCAGCAGGAGTTAGGATGAGTTCCTGTACTTCTCTTGTGACTTCCTGTAGTTCTCTAAAGACTTCCTGTACTTCTCTGGTGACTTTCTGTAGTCCTCTGATGACTTCTTGTAGTTTTCTAATGACTTCCTGTAGTTCTCTGATGGCTTCCTATACTTCTCTGATGACTTCCTGTACTTTTCTGATGACTTCCTGTTGTTGTTTGATGACTTCCTGTAGTTCCCTGAGTAGTTTTTTTTATGCTGCAGTTTGAGCTTGATATGGAGCCTCGTCTGAAGCCGTCTCTGATTGGAGGAGGTGTTGGAGGAGGCAGAGCAGCAGCAGGAGGAGGAGGAGGAGGAGTGAACGACAGTCAGGACGTCTCCTTCAGTCAGACCACTAAAGGTATGCAGCCGCTGAAGGACTCAGTGTCTGAGCTGGAGATGATGACCAGAGCAGGTAAACCCTCCTTCTCCTCCTCCTCCTCCTCCTCCTCCTCTTCTGCCTCCTTCTGCCTCCTCCTCCTCCTCCTCCTCTTCTGCCTCCTTCTGCCTCCTCCTCCTCCTCCTCCTCTTCTGCCTCCTTCTGCCTCCTCCTCCTCCTCCTCCTCTTCTGCCTCCTTCTGCCTCCTCCTCCTCCTCCTCCTCTTCTGCCTCCTTCTGCCTCCTCCTCCTCCTCCTCCTCTTCTGCCTCCT